CGTGGGATGCTGGCCGTGGGAGCCCGGGCAGGTCTGTGCAGCCCTGGCCCCGCAGCCCCTCTGCTCCCCGGCGCGCAGCAGCGTGCAGAGATTTCTACCTGATGGGGATCAGCCTCTGCCCAGCCAGCTCAGAGGAAAACAAGTGAAAACAGAATAAATCAAAGCCTGGATTGTTGAGGCAATTCCTTTGTCTGCTCCAGCACAGCCCTTGATGTTGGAGTCCTTCAGTCAGAATAAAAAATAATGGGAAAAGATCAAAGGGGGGGCTGCCTCTTGTGGGTGCTGCCAAGCACCCCTCACCCCCGGCCCTGGGGCACGTGGCCTTTTGCTGCTTTGTGCAGCAGCTCAGCCAGGAGCAGGGGACCCCGGTCGCCCATGGGGCTGGCCAGGATGCGGCCATCTCCCCCACTCCATCCCAAACCCTCTCCCCTGCCGCCAGCTGCTCGCTCTGCTTTAAGGGCTCCTCTTATCCGGGAGCCCGTGGGCCGGCTCCTCATCCGGCACCCCCTAAAGGCGCTGCCCGGGGGGCTCTGGGCGACTTTGCTCGTCTGCTCCCGATTCTGCTCACCCTGTGCCCCTGAGCGTGCGCCAGCCGGCTGCCTCCGCAGCACCTTTCCTTCCTGGATTTGTGAAAGGATTTGTCCTGCAGGTTGCTTCCCTATTGATTTTAATCGTTAAGCTGGAGTTGCTCTTGCTGGATGCAAATAACGCGTGGCGGCTCTGTTTGCTGGCGGCGCTGCTCCGGACGAGCGCCGCTCTCGAGCTGACGGGGACAGCAAACATCGCTGGGGCTGAGGAAGGTGATCCGGGATTTTGAGGGATTGGTTCGTAATCCCATCACCTTTCATAAGCACATCTGCTGGTTTGCTCCACTGAAGCTCTGGAAATGCACGATGTTAGGGATGCTGTGCTCGCAGCGGCAGCCTGGGCGGGTCGCGTGGTCCGCCTGGTCCTTGGCTTGCTCCGAATTCCCTCAGAGCATCTCCGTGGAGCAGGTATCATCTCGGCCTGGTCTTGCTGGGCAGGTGGGATGCTCTGGGCACCCGGGGAGCGCTATAGTGGGGAAAAGAGGTTGAAAAGCATTGATTTGAGATCCTGAAAGTTTTGAACTATCTCCTGACCAAAAAAACCCAAGGTCCTCCGGCGCTAAACGATTGCCCAAGGGACAAATCTGTCAGCCAGCCTTTAATACGATAAGTATCTTGCAAAGCTGCAAAAATCCGTACAGCTGCTGTTAGCAGAAGCCGTGCACGCGGGGAGCGCAACCCCGTTACTGCGCGCTGCAGGAGCCGGGGGGGGCAGCGAGGCAGAGATACGGGAGGAAGGAGAAGGGACTGCGGGAGGAGGCGGCTGGGCTTTGAGGAGGAAAAAGCTTTTTGGCTCCGTTAGCGATGTTACACAGATGGGGAGGGAGGCAATGCCAACACTTCCTAGCAGCCATCAAGGTGGAATCCGTCTTCCGATGTGGGTTGGCTGAGAGCCGTCCTGGATCCCCGCACCCCGTGATGCGGGGGGGGGAGAGGCCCCCCTGCCCACCCACAGGGCTCCTGCTCTTTGCCCACCGGGCGTTTCCAGGCTGCAGGGTCTCTGCTCAGAGCGGGTGGGCGAGGGCAATTCTTGGTCTGAAGCTGCCCGTTA